AGAACAATATGTTACCACATGGAAGTGTATAAATTTATCTTCACTTTGAGACTAAAGACTATTACCAAACTGTAATTTATTGTTCTTTTATTGCAAGGTACATTTGTCTTGGTCAGATCTGTGCATCATACAGTTATATCTGGTGGCTTGTGCAAGTTTCATTGCCTAACATTTCCAAGGAACAGCTGCATGATATTTTCCCTCAGTAGCCAAGATGCTTTGAAACTGTGTAAACAATGCAGATAACTTCTGTTACATTTGTGGTGAGGTTACTTTTGCATCTCAAAAGTGGAATATGACGGCAGTGGTAAAAAAGGCAAGCCACCTATATTTTGGATGCAAAATAGGGGATCAGGACAAGAGTTGGGCCCCTTATTGTGTTGCATTATGTACAACTTATCTGCATCATTGGCTAAACAAGAATAAAAAGTCCATGCCTTTCACAGTCCCAATGGTGTGGAGGGAAACCACCAATCATAGTAGCAACTGCTATTTTTGCATGATTCCCCCAATTAAAAACCAATAAATGAATGGAAAGTTATGTTATTGGTATCAGTAAAAAGATAAATTTATAATGGTCCCCAATGGTACCAGAATGGTGTGGTACCATTCTCATTGCTATATCACATTCTGCAGAAAAGTTATGGAGCATAATCGCACACCCCCCTCGTTATTTTGAATTATTTTGATGCAGTTTTGACCTGAAGCTGTATCTTGGAAACTGGAGCCACTTAATACTCAGGACTTAATTTCCCTTTATTAGTGACCCAGTTCTTGTAAAATTTAGTACTTTCATCTCCAAGGCTTTCTCCTTGTAGAACAGTGTAATCAGATGGCTGGCCAAGAAATGCTAGAAGACACTTGTCTCTCTCTATTCGAATAGGACTGTTCCCCTACATTATTAGATTTTACTAGCTGAAATGTAATTTCCATTGAGTTAATAGAACTTACTTCCTAGTAAGTGAGTTTAGGATTGCAGCCTAAGGGAAAAAATAAAGGTACTGAAATTGCCAACATACTAATTTGAGTTGCTGTTTGCACATATGGAATAGAGATAGTCACCTGAAAGAGAAGTTCATCTAGTATTGCATCCAATTCCCTGATGTAAGTTGCATTGTGCTGGTTTACTCTGTTACTAGGTGGATGAAAATACTTCTTCCACAACATTATCTCTGACCAAAAATGAGTTGTCAGTCTGCCACAGCATAAGCCAGAATTTCAAGTAAGACTGTACAGACTATTCCTATTACCTTCTAGTTAACTAGCTGGCATGTTTGCCATATCTTAAGACTGCATTGCTTAGAGTTTTCTAACCATAGCTACAACTGTTTCTGTGTTTACCTTTAACTCTGGCTTCTTCTCTGCTTACTGGTTTCTCAATTTAAAAACCTGTCAAATATTTTACAAACTGTCTGAAGATAGTCACTCTTGTGACAAGGTTACTTTTTCCAACTGTTCAACAGTAAAGCCCATCTTTGTTCTGTTCTGAAATGTAATATGAATGTGCCTGCCTTGGGTTAATTACACAAGGCACCATCAGCCACGAGCACTGATCTGCTGGAGGGACAGCATGGATTCTGTTTTAATGGGAAATAATGAATGCCCATTGCCATTTCTTGTATATTGTAGTTTAAAGATTAAACACAGTGCTGCAACTATATAAGTTTACCAGTCTGTTCCTGCTAGTGTCATCTTCTGTTGCTGCAGCTGCTGAACAATACAGTAGCTTTTATATAGAAAACAAAGGTGCCTTTATGTGCTATGTGTTGGAAGAATTGCAGTTGTTGGAGAGAAACATATATAATGGGCTACTGCCTACATTCTATAAAGAGCAGGTACATCTTGAAATCCTGCAGTTTGACAGGAAATATTCCACATACTAGAATATGTTGGTGCTTTTATTATTAATGAAGTATTGTCAGTTTATATGGTTCTTTAGGCAAAGAAACCCAACAAAAAGAGACATTCTCTGTAACCTAAACTCACTCAGAACAGAAAACTACTGACAAAAATATTTCTTGTAAGGGGTTTGATGCGGAAATGTTGAAATCAAGAGCAAAACATAATTGAGACTTAAACCTGAACAAGAACTTAGACTAAGGGGTACATTCACTTGTAGTGATAAACTGAAGATTATAATAGAAATGAGCCACAGCCAGCCTTCCTTCTCTGTTCTCCTTTGGCGTGGCTGTGAAGAGATTGGAATCTTCAATTTTATGTTAACTAAAGTCACTGTTTACCTGCAGCCAAGTATGTGCTTCATTTGTTAAGATTTTGTTTGTTTCCTGGTGCACTTCAGAAGTTTAAGAGTATATTCCTGACCATTGGCTATACTGGCTATGGTTGATGGGAGTTGAAGCCCAAAGCATTGGGAAGCTCCAGGTTGGAGAAGGCTGCTTCCTCATCAGAACATAAAAGCTAGACTGAATTAGATGGTAGGCTCCGTCTAGTCCAGTATTCTGCTCACACTGTAACTAACCAGCTGTTTTAAATAAAACCACATTATGTTTAAGGCTCTGAATTGTAATAGATGGTATAGCAGCAGTTGCCCCTGTTGTGTCATGTTGTACACTCCTGCCTGAGTGCTCTGTAGTTTTTTGAAAGTCAGTGGTCTGTTCTGTCACGGCAGGGTTTTATTCTTGTGCATCTGTAGAGATGCAATCTGTCTGCTCTAAAGCTTGTAGATGAGTTTATGCATAAAGCAAAAAGTATGTTCTGACTGCTGGAACAAATAGTCAGTATGTGTAATTGCTCAGGGAGTAAATTAATTTCAAGTTGGTATATATTTATTCAAAGCATTTTTATTCTGCTCTTTGGTTAAGCCTCTATAATTTAAACTGTTCGCTCTCTCTCTGTGGTTTAAATTAGTCTATCTTGCTTTAAACTGAGCACTCATAGCAGCCTTCTCCAACCTGGTTCCTTCCAGATGTCCCAGTTATTAACCATACTTTCTGAGGCTAATGGATGTTGAGGCCCAAGAATCTTTAAAGCTGTGTAAAACCTCTAAATAGTACTGCAGAATCTTGCTTGACTTTTCCAAAGGAATGCTGTTTGTTCTCACTACAGAGAGAACTTTTCGTGCTACAGACCTATCCGAACTTATTCCTTAAGTTTTCTAATTGCATTTCACTAGTTCTTCAGACAGCTGAATTCAGATTTTCTGTTTCATGTTGCTTTTGTGATGTGGTTACCATCACTTTGGTTGCTACTACGGTATTCTTAATAATATGTATATTCCACACACAAGACTAGGGTATGATTGTCTTGTGTGTGGAACACACTGGCAATCCAGCCCTCCTGCAATGTTTCTTCAGTGTAATATGTGACTGTTAAGTTCACCCTGACCATGTATCACCCAGATAAGTTGCACTGGCAGACCATTTGCTAGTACCCTGGACCAGCAGAATGACAAACAAGTGGGCCCTAGCTCAAATCACTCCAGAACTTTCCCTGGAAGCAAATGCGATGAAACTTGAGGCTTTTCTACTTAAGGCGTATCCCGAGAAGGTAAGAGTTGCTAGAAAAGACAGTTCTACAGAAAGCTGAAGGCAGAAGATGAAGGAAAGGCCAACTATGAGATAGATTGATTCCCTAACAGAAGCCACAGCCTTGAGCTTACAAGAACCAGGCAGGGCTATCAAGGGCAGGGCATTTTGGAGGGCCTCTCATGGGGTCCCTGCAAGTTGGGATGACTTGACAGCACATAACAAATTAACACTTCTAATTAGGGAGTCATGAATGAATGCTGTTTGAGTGATATGTTTGCCAGGGTTTTCTGCACATCATTTCACTCCTTGTCTCCTCTTGATTTGTCCTTACATTTGTGAATGTTGTTCTTTGTGAATTGGAAATGTGTGCAAAACAAACAGCTATTGAATGGGAATTTTGTGCCCCATACATTAACTCAGCTTAGTGCAAAATTTAAAAGAATGCCAGCATGTTTTATGAAACTAAATTCTCATACTTCATGGAAGTTGTGTGTATGGTGTGGTGGTTAGACCTGGGAATCATAGAATGGTAGAGGTGGAAGGGGCCTATAAGACCATCAGGTTCTAGTCCCCCACTTAGCCATGAAGTTCACTGGGTGACTTTGGACTATTCACTTAATCTTGGCCTCAGCCTAACTCACCTCAGGGGATTATTCCTCTAAAATTAAAATGGAAAGGAGTAGAAACTTGCAAGCTACCTAGGGTTCCTTGCAAGAGGAAGAAAGATGAGGTATAATGTAATTTAAAAATAGATATATATTTACTTCCGACTTGAGTCATGCTTCTCTTATTTGTATTATTATGGAAATTGAAAGACTGCCTGGCTTAACTATCTTCAAGTGTTTTGGACTGTGCAAAGATAGCTCCTTAGTCATGTTGTGACCTAGTAGGGGCTGCCACCATTTTAAATATCTCTGTTCCTGTACCTTCCAACAGCAGCAAAGATTAAGGTAGAAGCTTTCCTTGTCACTTTATCTCCCTGTCAAGAAGACCATCACATACAGCTTATAGTACTATTGAAGACACAGGAGAAGGATATACACAGTCTGAGTAGTAGAATATCAGTACATAAGCCTTACACTAAATATATGAAATTGAGTTTAGTTTGTTGTTTGAAGTAACTTTTTCAGAGTGTAAGATATATGTCAACAAATGTGCTTGAAGTATTATCTCTGCTAAGGGGCTTATTTTCTGGTTGGGTGAAAACAAAGAACTAACAATGATTGAAAGTGCATTGAACACTGTGAAAACAGAAAATGCTGCATACTGGTTGTATGCATATACAACCTAAGGTCATATACATATTATAATAAAGGTCACAAGAGATAGAAATGACCTGTAAGCAGGTACATTCTGTAGATCCTATGTAGGCCAATTAATGTTGATAGAATACTGTTATTAAATGTTCAGTAAATTTTCATGGAAATCTTTGCAAATTAACAGCAAGTCTGCACTTAAGCATAATCAATCAGTTCAATATTAGATTGTTAATTGTGTTTCTTTTCTTTTAAGAATGTGAAACTGTCTGCTGAAGTTGAACCATTTATTCCTCAGAAGAAGAATCCAGATTCACTTATGATGCCTATGGCTGTGCCTAATGATAGTGGAGGTGTTAATGGCATAGAACCAGCTCCTATTCCCAGCTACCTGATTACTTGCTACCCATTTGTTCAGGAAAACCAATCTAATAGGTAATTGAATATATTCCACGAATAAAGACATATATTGAATATTGTCTAGAATTGATTCTTCATAGGGTTTTTAAATGGGAATGAGTAAAACTTCCTTTGTCCCTAACATACTTGGAAGGTTTATCAGTAGACTTTGGCAGAAAGGGAAGTTAAAATGCACTGAACTCAGTGGAACGTATTTCTGAATAAACATGTATAGCCTGGTAGTTAAATAATATGCTTATCAAAGGAACTGTCTGCTCCTCTTCTCTCCAGGTAGATTGGTTGGTTTTGTCATTTAGTAATCTTCATTTTTTTAATTCTATGTGCCTCATTTAAAATAAGACAGTGAACTCCTGATCCAGTTTGGGACATCCCTCAACTATATCTGCTAGAGCAAAGAAGTCAGTTGTGTCTCAGTTGCATTCTTTCATTTTAAAATGAGACAGTGGCATTGACCTTTTGAATTTGCATACCATCCTAGTGTGTTGTGAACAGATTGAAAAATGAGAAACAGTCCTTATTTACACTATGAATAGGACTAGGATGATATCTCCAACATCCTATATTCCAAGTCATCCTTTGATGTTTATGCTGCTTTTGCTTTTTACCTACAAAAGTTGGCCAGGAAAATCATGACGGAGTGAGATTTGTTACTGCCTATCCTGTCCTATCTCTCTTACATGCATGCGCACTCCTGCCGCGTGTGTCCGTCCTACATAGTTATATAGAAGATAGGAGATAGACTGTAGCACGCTGGAGTGTGTGTTCCATAATATTCCAATGTTTGTGCCATTTCGCACAACATATTCCGCGTTTTTAAAGCTACAAAGCTGCCTTCCCCAACCTGATGTTTTGGACTTCAACTCCCACAAATCCAGTCAGCATGGCCAATGATTAAAAATGGTGGAAGCTGAAGTCCAAAATACTTGGAGGGTACCATGCTGAGAGAGGCTGCTGTAGAACCATATGAACAGAGGAAGACATCTGATATGGAGAGCATTACCAACATTGTAAAGGTCAAGGTGCCCCCTTGATATTAAGTCCAGTCTTGTCCTTCTCTAGGGGGCAGTGCTCATCTCGGCTTCTTAGCTGAGGGAGCCAGCATTTGTCCACAGACTCTTTCCTTGGTCCTGTGACTGGCATGACTAAATGCCAAAGTGTACGGAACACTGTTACCTTCCCACTGAAGTGTTGCCTATTTATCTACTCACATTTGCATGCTTTTGAATTGCTAGGTTGGCAGGAGCTTGGGACAGAGTAATGGAAGCTTACTCCATTGTGTGGATTTGAACTACCAACCTTGCGATAGACAAGCCCAGTGGCTCAGTGGTTTAAACCACTGCGTCACCCGTATCAACTTTGTACATTTAGATTTTACAGGAAATTATTGGTGCTGCTCGACAAGCTGCTATATGCATTACAGCTCAGCAATTCTATTCCTTTTCATTTTTTTCAGACAACTTCCACTGTATAATAATGACATCAGATGGCAACAACCTAACCCAAACACTGCTGGGCCGTACCTGGCTTATCCCATTATATCTGCTCAGCCTCCTGTTTCTACAGAGTATACCTATTACCAGTTGATGCCAGCACCCTGTGCTCAGGTCATGGGCTTCTATCCATTCCCAGCTCCTTACTCTGCACCCTTTCAGACAGCAAGTGCCATAAATACAGTGACAGCAGAATGCACGGATCGTCCAACTCAGCCAAATCAGGCCTTTCCATTATGTACCCAGCGGAGTAGAAGCACCAACAGGGGACCAATTATGCAAAAAGTAAGCCTGTTAAGCACTTGAAATAACAGTGATCAAGTGAGTAATAGCTAGCTGAAAATAAATGGCTTGTCAAATGTATTAGTTAAGTATACTTCTATGAATATCCATTTAATTTTTGGTTAATAGCAGAAAATATTTTAATTTTTGTGCAGAGGAAGTCTTCTGCATTTGACATGCCTTTGTTGGGCAGTATAAAGCACACTCTTTGGACAGTGCCCTTCCATCCAGCTTGTTGATGGGCATTTAGTGAGCTATTTTTTTTAATACATGCTGCACAAAAATTGCAAAGAGTTCTTCCTTAATTAGTCCAAATAATACCCTATATTTTTACAACCTTTCTATCTGAGCCAACACAGCAGGCATGTTTTATGTATTTTTACTATAACCTGCCTAGAGCTTTAAAAAAATTAAAATTTGGCTTGTCCCTTCTTAACTTGTTCTGTCATCATAATGCTATGATTCTGGAGTTTGCTAAAAATTAAGTCTTCTAAGGGTATGATTCTATACATGTTCACATAGAAAAGCGTCTGCAATGCTGGCATGGCTGGCTGTGGCATGTAAGATGTTTTTCTGTTCAGATTTGAATAGGACTGCATCTCAAAACATTCTAAAAAATTTCTTGTTACCTGACTGGAAATTCTAGGTTAGCAGTATGCTTTGCCATGTAGGCACACTAGAGTTAGGTTAACAAAAAGCTGTTTTAATAGTGTATTGATTTCAGTTTTCTACCTGAAGAAGTTAAGACTGGAGGATTCAGGACAGTTGGACTTTCATTAAATTGGAACCTTCCTCCACTCCCAAATTTCTTTTGCTATTAACTATGTTTGTGTGATCCACCCTAAGTGACCATTTAAATCATAGACCACTTCATTTCTACTCAGGCTGCAATCCAAAATATTTTGCAGATTAATTACTTCTAGATCTTATCAACTTCCATGGGTTTTATAAATGTGCTACTATATATTTCAGTTGCTTAGAATTATCTAACATTCATTATTACATAAAAGCATTGTGGCATCCTCCAGACCAGTTCCTGTGATTCCAAATTGTTGCAGTTAGTTCTGTATTCATTTTGATGCTTTTAGAAAACATTTACCCACCTTCCATGAATATATGGATACTTTTAACCCACTTTCATGCAAATATTAATAGATGTCACACCCAAACATCCTTCTGACATTTATTTTAATTTTAAAATATGTTAAATTGCAATCAATTGTGGAGAACATAGCGAGTTATACAAATAAAGTATTATAAAATTACTTAATGTGTAAATACAACAAAGCTGCTATCCAGTTAAAATGCTGCACCTTAGTCATGCTATTTGCATATGTAGTATAAAAGGAAATTAATAGATTTAATAGTGTCTTCAGCACTGTCTAGCTACTATTTAAAATACATCAAAACAATTTATCCATTCCATTGCCTTCAAACACCTTCCTCCACCATTTAGCATTGCTTAAATTCTGGGTGATTTCCAGTTTTTGTAAACATGACTTGAGGAGCATCCAACAGATTCTGTTGGTTATTCTGTACACCACATTGAGAGTGTTGTGCTAATTGAACAGTATAGAAATGCCATAAACAAATAATTCTCAATATCATTTTTAAAAAGTTATTTACTGCTGTACTTTAGCAAAGGGTCATCACTAACATGTTAGGGACTTTTAGCAGCACAACAATCTGGCTGTGGGTTCCAAAATGTGTTGCAATTATTGAATGCCAGGAATGTGAATGTTGGTGCTCATGTAGAAATCAAGGGCTTGGGCTGTCAGTTTTGATATGAACGAGAGATACGAGTTCTTTCCAAACCTTATTTTTAATTATCCACTGTTGCAAAAGTAGCTAGCAAATGAGAAATAAGCTTTCCTAAATTGAGGCCACTGGTTTACTGGCTAATTATGTTGCTTAACTAATCTCTTTGAACAACAACAGCCTTCACAGACTCACATAAAAAACAAAAGGCCTCCAGTCAAAAGTGTTGCTACTCAGAAGGAGACCAGTGCGTCAGGCCCTGAGAGCAGACCCAAAATTGTACTACTTGTGGATGCTTGTCAACAAACAGGTAGGGCAATGTTTCTTGTGCATTTCCCGCCTTCTGCTTATCTTGTCTCCCAGTTCCTTGTACAGTTTAAAATCTTATTTTTGTAAAGAACTGCTGGCTTTCAATGATTCCGTTGTCCTTACCTTACAGACTTTCCTTCAGAGATAGCAAGCAAATCGCTCTCTGAGAGTGTAAGTACAGCACACTGGAAACCAAAAAGCAGGCGCCGAAGAACCTCCCACCCTGCAGAATCCTCTAGTGAGCAAGGGGCGAGTGAAGCAGATATTGATAGTGATAGTGGCTACTGCAGTCCCAAGCACAGCAACCAAGCTGCGGCTGCTACCTCAAGGAGCACCGAATCTGCTGCAGCAAATGTAGGTAACCCCTCGTAAATATTAAGGTGGGTGAAGAAGACACAAAATGAGCAAAACTTTAAAATGACCTCTACATTCTTTATTTTTCAGATCATGGAAACATCAGTACACCCAGGTAAAGTTCCTATATTAATTGATCAAGAACGAATGGAAGCTTTGCACTTTGTCAGCATTATATTCCTAATTCGTACTTTTCTATGAACAATTGTGATAAATAATAAATATTCCATTTGAGTTCTATGGTACTTGTTGTCCCAGGTTTTTGTAATTAGATCCAATTCTAAAATAGTCACAGTTTAAATAGGACAACGTGTGTTTTCATGCTTTTAGGTGAGCCACTCCTCTCTAACGATTTTCTTCAGGCAATCTTGTGTAAACTCTATTGTGGCCTTCCCCATCCTGGTGCCCCAGTTGTATTGGACTGCAGTTCTTATCACCCCCAAGCTGGAAATATTAGTGATACTAGTGATCGTAGTTTATCACATTTGGAGTCCACCTAGTTGAATATGGCTGCTCTTTTGAGTTCTTTGAATTTGAAACTCTTGGTTTTCTCCTAAATGCCTTTGCTAACCAATGTGATCTTTACATTTCAAAAACAGTCCTGACTGTTTTTAGAAGATTTATGCTATACCAGTCTACCTCCTTTTAAATCCGTTTTTTTCTGTTTCTAATCCTGTCTTGCTGTTTGACAATTTATCCATGCCTGCACTGATGTTTAAATTCCATCACAACTGCAGATAAGGCTTGGATCTTAATTGCACTTTTCCTGTTCTGATAGAGGACAAATGAATGTACAAGGGAGAGAGACAGCCATTTTTGATTAGGAAAACAATGCCAGACTTGATAGAACGCATACATCTGAACAGTAGCTATGTACTGAACGACTGCTAAATGTTTTTGAACATGGTAAATACTTGCAATAGCTTACTGTCAGTCATGATTACATCTCTGATGATGAGACGGGTAGGTGGGATGACTGAAAACAGTGGAAGTTTTACTCAGTTTATACACTAGGCCAGACTTTGTATTTAGCTTCTTTACATATGTCGCTTTCTGGATTCTTTGCAAAATGGTATAATCTTCACACTTTGTTTCTTTAACATACGAAGCATTTCCTTAAACAACTGTGGTGTTTCTTTCAGCTGGTGCCAGTTGGACAAGTGTCAGTTCCCAAGCAACTCAAAAAAAGCCTTGGATAGAGAGAGCACCAACTTTCTCAAGAGGTGGAAGGCAACCTGAGCAGCACAGTAGTTCAAAGGTATTTTATTGAAAGCATTGCCCCACAACACTCCTCAGCCTGAAAAGCTCCTGGAACCGTTTACAAATGAATAAAAAACAAGTTAGTTCCAATCCTTTGACTTACAGACTAAAATACATGACATACAAGGGGAGAAAGGTTGAGAAAGGAAGAGGAAAAAGCAAGGGAGCATAGCTGTCAGTTCTTAATGTTGCTCAGTTGTTATAATGGCAAGCTGTGGTGCCAGCAGATTGGTCAAGACGTTCAGAAATGGGTCTTGGCTGGCTTTCAAAACATAGCCAGTCAACTCTTCCCTCTTGGAAGTGGCTGTAATACAGCTGCAAGTTTTTGACCTTGCAACTATGAGCTTTGCCTTCTGAGGCCTTACTGGAATCTGCTGACATTTTTCACCCCTGCTGTGGCAGGTGAGTCTCAGAGAAGTCCAAATGAGAACACCAGCTTCAGAGCAGGGAGATGCTCTTTCTCACAAAGCAGTTGGTTTCAGATGCTCTTTTGAGATGGGAGCTCAGTCCAGCTTTGAGAGGAGATGGAAGTTTAGATATCTTTTCATTGTGGAAAACTCAGGTCCCACTTTCTGTAAGTCTTGTAAATTAAGCGGGCCTGTTCATGAATGTATCTTAGATGAAAACTAGAAAACAAAGCCATCGGACTTCTGTAACTTGATTCAAGGCTGTAGATAGATGTGGAATCAGCTCCCCAAGGAGGTACACCTGGTGCCTACTCTTTATTCCTTCCAGTGCCAGGTAAAAACCTTTTGATTCACCCAATATTTTCACAGGTAACAGTTTTAATTTTCTTTAAAAATTACTGCTGTGGGTTTATTGTGAGCTTATTATTTCTATTTTAGCGTTGCTTTGTCTATGTATTTATCTTTGATTTTAATGCATTGTTTTTGTTTGTGCATTTTGATTATGTAAACCAGAGAGCCATCTTGACCAAAGGATGGTATAGATCTTGCTTAAACAATAAATAAATGTGTAGGCACAAAAGGAAGGGCATGTAAATGACATCTGTTTAGTTGCGGGGGCGGGGGGGCTGTTTGTTTTTATCTGCAAGAGAAAAGCCAAATTACTTGAGTCAGACCTGTTTTAATTGACCTGGTTTTTAAAGGAATAATTGCAAAAGCACTAGTCCATAACACGTTCTCTTCTTTTGTATGTACATTTAGCCTGCTTTTAGATGTAGGGGGCACAGCACATCTTCCGAAAGAAGACAGAACTTGCAGAGGAAGCCAGAGAAGTCTGAAGCTACAAGTCAGCCAAACAGGACAGAGCAGAGTCCTGAACCTCTCTATTTTGAGGTAAATTTTCATTGTAATAATCACCATAATTCTGAGATGTTTGGGCTGCATCATAATTCACTCCTGTTCTTTATATATGCTGCAAAATAAGCATATACTTTTCAAAAGCATACAAACTTATCTTTCACAATTCTACCAGTGAATTTTCTTTTGTTTGATTTCAGTATACTCTGGCATCTTGTGATCTGCATGCTCACCTACTTTAATTGTCACATGAATAATTAACAGCTCACATTTATTTGTTCTCATTTCACTTTTGCCCCACAACCAAAGCTTTCTGGGTAGTTTATAGTTAGGCAATGCAGTCTATTTTAATAATGTTAAGTCTGGCTTCTGCCAACTTCCATTGTTTAGTTCAGTGTTTCCTTGCTGTTCATAGTAATTGAGCCCTGCAAATTTCAGCACGTGATTATGCATGTTAACACTTCTTCAAATTTTCTATCCAGGATGAAGAAGAATTTCCAGAGTTAAACAGTGACAGTGGAAATTATAAAGGTGGCAATATGCAGCTGAAACATGCACCTAAAGTGGTAAGAGAGTTGACTGACATTTTCTGGATGCAATCAGACCTCTGATTTGGATTACTGGTGAATTTCTTAAAATATTCTGGCTGATAAGGCAAGTTGTAACAGTAAATAATGTTGTTTGGGAGGCCTGAAGAGACACCAAGTAGTATGGAGCCATGTGCAGAATTCCTAAAAATGTTGGCTTTCATTTTAAAAGAAGAAAACAGGCTTCCAGCCCTTAAGGTGCGGAGAATATGCCTGAAAGTGTGTGGGCAATGCCTGCTCAAGTCTGAAAAGCTATTGGTATGACTAAGTCCTCTTACAGCTGGAATGGAACCTTAGTGGCTTGCATAGTTCATTGCTCCTATATGTAACTGGCATAATAATCCAATTACACTAAACAGGAGACTGCCTTTTTCTCTATGCACATAACTTGTACAGACCTCACAATTCCAACTTCCTTGGCAGATTTTGGATCACTTGGCTGCAAAATTCTTTTGTGCTTAAGCAAAGGATACATATGCTCCTAAATATAGAATATTGATGTTCCTGGGGACTGCTCAGAAGCAACCTGCTTATAGTGTATGGCAGCATCAAACCAAAGATCCCACCTTTCAGGATCAAATCATTAATGCTAATCTTTGGACCCTCTTGATGTATGAATGAATTGGTTCCTTGAAATAAGCATGGCTCTTCTTCTCATATGACTTTAAAATATATTAGCACAAAAGTGTATTTGCCTGTCAAACCACTGATTCACTTAGGATTATTAAGCTTATTTCTTGTGTATGTGAAGCACACTCAGGCTTATGGTGAAGTGTACTTTATGTGGTAATACCTTTTAACTGCATGTGCCTCTTGTTGACTCCAGCTGGATGATTTACCTGAAAATTCTCCAATCAACATAGTACAGACACCAATTCCAATCACCACTTCTGTTCCCAAACGGGCAAAAAGTCAAAAGAAGAAAGCTCTGGCAGCAGCTCTAGCCACAGCTCAAGAGTACTCAGAAATTAGTATGGAGCAGAGGAAACTCCAGGTCTGTTATTCTAATGCAGTAGTTGAGATTAATTGTATATTTGAATCACGGATGGTCATTGCCAGGATACAGTCCTCAACATAATGTCAGTCTTGCCCTTGGTGTACTTGTCAAGTAATTTTCCTGCAGTTTTGCTTGCAAATGAAAGAGAATAACATTTCAAACTGTCAGTGATCCCAATGTTACACCACTTTTTTAGCCTTTGTATGTATTAATCTACTTATTCCTGAATTAACAATCACAATGGCCTTTATTGCTAGTTGTCATCAACCTTAAGATGGAGACTGATAAGGGTCCCCAATTCCAGCCCCCCACCATCAGAAGGTCAGAGTAACACCTGATGTTATGGAAGAAGGAAAACCCTATCTAAATACAAACACACATACTGCAGCTCATCAAGGCCTGTCTGGTTCAGCACTTTGTTTGTACAGTGGCCAGTCTCCTTTGGAAAGCTCAAAACTAGGACAAGAGTGCAGTAGCCATCTCCTGCTGTTGCTCTTCATCAACAGGAATTATATTTCTGGCAGCTAAGTTGAGCTCTATTTTCCTTTTAATTACAGGAAGCAGTTTCAAAAGCAGCTGGGAAGAAGAGCAAAACACCTGTTCAGTTAGACTTGGGGGACATGCTAGCTGCTCTTGAAAAACAGCAGCAGGCTATGAAAGCTCGCCAGATCACGAATACCAGACCCCTCTCCTACACAGGTAACTATAATACAGTTGACTGTTCTTTATAGCCACACATTTCGTAAACATTTTTTCCATCTATGAGGACTAGTATATTAACACTGAGCACAGGGAGTTTTATAGTGAACCAACATGTGTGGCCATAACACCACCTTGCAGTCAAACATGAAAACTGCATTTGGATCTTCCTTCAATGAATTACACTCCTAAACATATGAAGTATTTGTGCCATAAATACCTGGCAGCTGCTCTGTGAGTAAAATGTGCTGAATGCACATAGCCAGGATGTTCCCTAAACTAGAAATGAAATTCAGAAAACAGCATTCCCATCAAGAAATGTTGTTGGTGAAATTACTCTCTCCACAGAACTTAGCTCTGTGAAGGTAGGTTTCTCATCCTATGCCAGTAGCGGAATACAAATGAGTTGTTTATTGGCTCCGGGTTTCATTCAATTTTTTTAAAGTTTTCTTGCAAATAGTAAAATAAATTCTTGCTAATAAATGATGAAGATAGTCTTGTAAAGAAAATAGAACAGTGAGTTCTGCTATGCATGGCTGCCTGTTAGAAATGTAATGTAAATTACTTTGAATGAATATGCACTTGGGCCAACTTTTCCACTAAGAATTATTTTTGGATGAGTTTGCTTCTTCAGAGAAAAACTTAGTATTTCTTATAAGGAATATCTGGTAGTGCATTCCTAATCTGTTCTGTCATGACTTGGGAGTGCAAATGACACATTTGTGTGGAAAGCTGCTTTTCCAGAGATTCAAATAACTCCTCTAGGTGCACCCAATTGCTTGACTATGCTCAGGTAGTTTTGTTTCACTCCCCTGCCAGATTCCCTGCTGTTCTTGAAAATCTCCTCAATGGTAAATGTCGCTTATGAGGCATAGGATGCTGTGGCTCAAGACCCTAAAGTGCAATACATGGAATTGTGTGGTTCTTAGAATGCTAAATAAAGGAAACCTCTCTTACACCAGTTGCTAGATAAAATAACATTTTTATCCTCGCATGGCTGAAGTATATCATGCTTCTATTTTTCTATATAAACTCAAGTGTTCCGTCAAGAATAGGCTAAATTGAAGGCTGGTTATTATTTATTTATTATTTATTAAAACTTTCATATGCTGTCCCATATGTGTGGCATCTCGGGACAGCTCACAATCAATAAAATCAGATGTCTTAAAAACAATCTAACAATAAATAACATATTAAAGCCACCTGGAAGCAGAATCATTCCATTTTAATAGCCTGCAAAAGGAAAAAGCTGTCACAATGAGTAATGACAGCTAATCAATTGGGAAACATAGGCATCACATATAAGCTGTTATTCTGTCTTGGTTTTGTTTAGTTGGCAGTGCAGCTCCTTTTCACACCAAGGAGTCAGCCAACCGAAAATCCTTAACTAAAGGACAGTCATCACTGGGTTGCCTTAATCCTTTGGATTCCACTGCTCCAAAAGTGAAACGAGGAAAAGAGAGAGAACTCTCAAAGCTGAAGCGTCCTACAGCACTTAAAAAGGTAAACTGTCTCTAAAAGTGTTGCTTCTTTTTAGCAATGTGGTCTTTGAGGTGTCTAAAAACATAGAAATGATTCATTCTAATTGCTTAGGTCCTGGTGGCGGGAAAACATTCCCACCTGAGCAGAACTGATACTAGTCACAACATCAGTTAATATGCCATAAAGGATGAAATGGGCTATCTTTTATCACTTTGTGATTAACTGTGTGGAATGTGACCATTTGACAATAACGTACCTGATTTTTTCTGATATATTTGTTCTTATGATGAGATCCGGAGAACCTGCGGCTTCTTCCAGGATCTTTTCTACTTCCCAGTTACATGGCGGACACTTAGTCAATCACAAAATTGTTTTGTTGTTGTTGTTAGTCGTGAAGATGTGTCCGACCCATCACGACCCCATGGACAACATTCCTCCAGGCCTTCCTGTCCTCCACCATCCCCTGGAGTCCACTTAAGCTCACACCGACTGCTTCAGTGACTCCACGCAGCCACCTCATCCTCTGCCGTCCCCTTCTTCTTTTGCCATCTATTGTTCCCAGCATTAGGCTCTTCTCTAGTGAGTCCTTCCTTCTCATTAGGTGGCCAAAGTATTTGAGCTTCATCTTCAGTATCTGGCCTTCTAAAGAGCAGTCAGGGTTGATCTCCTCTAGGAAAGACTGGTTTGATCGCCTTGTGGTCCAAGGGACTCGCAGGAGTCTCCTCCAGCACCACAATTCAAAGGCCTCAATTCTTCGGTACTCAGCCTTCCTTATGGTCCAGCTTTCACAGCCATACATTGCAACTGGGAAAACCATAGCCTTGACTATACGCACTTTTGTTGGCAGGGTGATGTCTCTGCTTTTTAGTATGCTGTCTAGGTTTGCCATAGCTTTCCTCCCCAGGAGCAAGCATCTTAATTTCTTGGCTGCAGTCCCTGTCTGCAGTGATCTTGGAGCCCAGGAAAATAAAATGTGTATTGATCGCTAAATAGTGAATTCATGGATTTAAATATGTGATTATTGTAAGATCGTCTTGGTTTGAATTTTAAAAATCTCTGAATTTAAACTGGCAAAAGGATTCAGGGAACAATGTCTTAATGTCAATTTAGAATTAGTTTCACTTGTGGTTCTGTTTTTAAAAAATAAGAATTAATGTAAAAGTATTGAATAACAATATAGTATAAAATATTTTTGGACTTCTTAAGGATGTGATCCTGTGCATGTTTAGAAAGAAAAAGTCATAGCGTTTCCTAGCAGGACATCCTACTACTGTCTGGTCATGATTGGATTGTATCCTAATTTTACTACTATGTGTGAATGGCAACCAGAACGGGTAAGGCATGTCCAACCCAATGTTGTGTTCTTGAAATAAAATTATTACATACATCCCTGAAAAAAATGACTCTTCTGTGGTGGTTGGGGTGGCAGCTCACCATGTATATTGTTTCACAGTAAGGATACAGTTTTGTAAACATGCTCATTTTTTTTCACCTCAGACTTGTTTTTTTTAATGTTTCTGTACCTGTGGTAGTAAGCCATTAAAACAGTATTATTTACAACTTCATAATGGGGTTTATTGCAGATTATCTTGAAAGAAAGAGAGGAAAAGAAGGGGCGCCTATCTGTGGATCATAGTCTTCTAGGAGCTGATGAAGAAGAGGTGAATCTGAACCTGGCTTCTAACCCATCAGAAGAACTAGCATCTCAAGAAGGTCAGAATTCTAAAAACATAAGTAAAATATCCTTAACTTACTGTGTATGTATTTACACATGTGTGCATATGAATTTTGTAATGTTAACCAATAAGACTGTAAGTCTTGCTTATGTAAAATATTTCTTTTCTCAGCATGTTGTACCCAAACTATATTTATGCTTCAAATATAGAAAGTTTATCTATACTTCCAGTCTAAATTTTAATTGTATGTTGTAACAGAAATTGATCCAGGTTTCAGAAACTTAGGTTGTATTTCCAGTTTGGAAGCTAGAATTTATATATACTTGAGCCCAATCTAATAAATATTTGCTTTGCCTGAGTACCTTCTGTTTGTAAGATTTTCTTAGACTTAAGTGTTATCTGCTGCACTAGCTACTTTAAAATAGGTAAGTAGAAAGACCTTGTTTGTATAGAGCTTCCACATACTTCAGATGGGCTTAGTTCTATAATCTAGCATCCAAAGGAGCCTGTGAATGGCATGGAAATTGCTTCTAAGTCTGCATTGAAGGACTGATTCCCCTTCCCACCCATCGTGGCAGCTCCTTGATCTTCATGAAATGCCACTTCTGAATTTTCTTCAGCTTTTCCAAAGGAGAAAGACGGAAAGAGGGGGGCAGTTGAACTTGCCTGTTCAACCGCATGGGGCCCTCTGGAGCTGAGCTTTTATCTTTAAAAATTGCTGTGGTGGTTTAAGATACTTCCATAGAAGACTTCAATCTGTAGAACATCAGCCAGTGTATGTGCATCTCTCTTCCTAAATCTACAACTTGCTGATTTGCAAATGGTGTCTCAGTCATGTCATTATATTGAGTAGTCTAGACTACAATGTCTCCTTAAGAAAAATAGTAGTTTGGCTTTGTTACTGAGGATACACACATGAGCTGTGTTTCTTGCTTTAGGAGTATTATGGTGGGATGAAAGGGAAAACAAGGAGCAATATATTCCCATGATGTGTAAGACATATTTCTGGGTGCAACAGCTCTTCTTTTGTTTTTCTGTTACAGAAGCTGGCCTGAGTGTCCCAAGTGACACCTCGCTGTCTCCAGCAAGCCAGAATTCTCCCTACTGCATGACTCCGGTATCCCAAGGCTCACCTGCCAGTTCAGGGATAGGCAGTCCAATGGCATCTTCAACTATAACGAAAATTCACAGCAAGCGGTTCAGAGAGTAAGAACCTTTTGGAAATGACATTCTGCGGAACTTGACTAGTGAAACTTTTCTTAAGCCAAAGCTGAATGGTCCTGTAACCAACCCCCCCCACCCCCCCCCATCATCACCACATTCAGTCCACACTGCAAGGCCTGGCGGACCCATGCAGTCAAACTCCAGCTATCCTGGGTGTGGCGTACTGTAAATAGGGCAAAAAGGTGCCAACACCACAAAGAGCTTTAGCTGTTTTTGGCAAGTCACATGCCTGATGGAAAAAATATTATTAGCAAGGATATTATAACTATATATATATAGTTTAGTGGCTTTATTTTTTCCATGAAGCTGAGGCCAGAACTGCTGTCTAAAGAGTCACTGAGAAGCAGCTAAGGCTTGTTTCAGGTCCTTCCATGTGCATCTGCACTTGGTTAGAGACTTAAGCAGCTGACAAAGTAAAAACCTAATTCTAGGATCACAGTATAATATGAATGATATATGTGTAGCTACAAAAAATAAGCAAGCCAAAAATTCCTTGGAAGTTAGAATGAACATTAGTTATGTTATGTGACAGCTAAAATATATGGGAAGTCTTTAAAACCCAGGAGCATTTCAGGAGTCAGGAGTAGGAAGGCCAAGCAGATCTCATACGGAAGTGAATTGTGCAAACTTGTAGGCCCTGGCCCTGCATCCTCTCCAACCTGAGTAAAGGATGGGGCAAAACATGATCTCTACTTCTTATACAAATGTATAGGATTGCACGCTCTCTAATACTTGGAGGTTTCACGTGGTTCAGTATTGCAAAGGTTAAACTCAAATTTTAAGTGGCAGGAGCTTTTATGCTATAATAAGTATTCATTCTCCATGGGCTGAGAAAGAACAGCTACATAGCAAGACTTGGAGTTAGCTGCAACTTTGGAACATCTTCAAAAGGCATCTTCAAATTAGAAAGTTAACACAAGCACAGGTGACTGAGGCTAGACTGAGGAAAAGATACATTTGGGTCACTGGCCTAAGCAGGTAACTAAAACTTGTGGGTAGCGGTAGCAGCTGGCATTGAAACAAAAAAGGAAGTCAAGAAGGACTTGTAACTAAACCTGCTCCTTCAGATAAAAACCCCGTCAAACATACTACTGTCATTTTGCTTACCCTCCCCTGTCCCTAGTGCTCCATGTCAGCTTGCTATTGACACCTTGGCCATGTCTGCGTTTAGTTTAGGTAGCCTTTCTGTATCCCATAACTATATCCTCGTTCAGCCTGCTCCTTGCAAGTCAGACAGCCACATATTCATTTATTTCATTTCTATACCTGCCTCACAGCTGAATCTCTCTGGGCAGTTTTCACAATCCACATGTTTCTCTTTTCACAACAACAGGATCAAAATATCCTTCTACACCTTTGCTGGTGCAAGAATCACCCTGTTTTCGAAAATGGTTTTCAAATGGCATGGAAAGGGAAAAGACAGTCTTTATCGAAAGATCAGTGGGCTAAATTCTTCAAGCAGCCATAGTACATTATTGGCACTCACCCAGTACATAAATATACCATTTGCAACATAGGCTTATTAAAACTATGTTTTTTAAACATTGCCGTTCTTATTTTTAGCAGATGATTAAAATGCCAAGGTATTTTAATATGAACTTTTCTCTTGGCATGACCCAGAGAACTTAAAAAAATTGAGCAAGAGATAATAGAAGCAAATTGGCTGCCTTGAAATCTGTTGGTTCCCTTGTGAACTTACAGGTACTGCAATCAAGTTCTCAGTAAAGAAATCGACGAGTGTGTGACTCTCCTGTTACAAGAGCTTGTCAGCTTCCAAGAACGGATTTACCAAAAGGACCCCATGAGAGCTAAAGCAAAGAGAAGGCTTGTGATGGGCCTGCGTGAGGTTACCAAGCATATGAAGTTAAACAAGATCAAGTGTGTCATCATTTCTCCCAACTGTGAGAAAATCCAGTCAAAAGGTATTAATGACACTTGTGGAAAACCTTTTCTTATTAGGCTAAATCTGGTTGTCTATGCTAGCATTAAACCGTTTGTCTGCTGCGCTGCCATCTGTGTACAGGGCATTTAGTGGTACTTCAGGAATGGAGCACTAAGTGCCACTGAGCTTTTTCAGCCACCTTCCACCTACAACAGCTCCTCACATCCTGCCGCAAGCCACTCTGTAGAGTCAGAACAGCTTCAGTGTCACATGGGGGGGCTACGCAGGGGACGAGGAAAGTGGTGGGCCAATACCATGATACAAACATCTCTTCATGTGCTTTTCTGCTCGCACAAGAATGAAAATTGGATGCAACCTGTGACTAACTTCCTAAGGCCTTCAGGTGTATCAAAACTGCTTTTCTTTTAGAAGCTGGGCTTTCCAATAACAAATTAGCTCAAGTAGTAATTGATTTGTTATCGCATTGCTAGCTTTAAGTTACTTTATGTTTAACAAAGTGTAGCTTATTTTTTGTCTTGTGCTTCTTGCATTGCCCGGCCTTATGCAGTGTGTTTCAGCTGCGGATTATAATTTTTCCACTCTAGTAGGAATAATCCTTGGGGCAGATTATGTAGCAGCAGACAGGATATGCTACAGAGAAGCAGCCAGTCCCAGCTTCCAGATAAGTGTGCTTCTGTGCAGCACACAGTTGTAACTACCGCACATATTTAGGCATATACTTAAATCCTAAGAATTTTAATGTGTGAAGAGACTCCTAGTTCATGAAATAGGTCGCTGTTGGTGCTGCATGCAATTACACTGGTACCAAATGTCACTGATATAAATTTTAAAAGTCTGGCTAGTTATGAGAGAGTTCTTTACACTTGGCTTTTTGTCATGCTTCCCGGTACCAAGGTGGACTAGATGAAGCTCTGTACAACGTAATAGATATGGCACGGGAGCAAGAAATCCCTTTCGTCTTTGCCCTTGGACGTAAAGCTCTGGGTCGCTGTGTGAATAAGCTGGTTCCAGTTAGCGTGGTGGGAATCTTCAACTATTCTGGGGCTGAGGTAAGAGCACATAATTCAGCTTTGTCCTCGGCTTTTCACAGGGGTCAGGCACAACCTGTGTTGGCGCCTGAACGTAAATCCATTGATACTGATCATTGGAATTTGCGAATGGGTTTTCCCAGACCTTGGGAGCAGACTGGAGCAAACGCTCTTCTTTCACATACAAGACGATATGCATTTCTTCCGGAGAGTTCAGCAGTGTCTGCCTTCTAATGTGGTACAGACCAAGCACTCGGACAAGTGAGCACTGCTTGGCTCCCTCACAAAGTGTGGCTTATAAGAAAGCTCTGCTTTGGAGGAACGCCAAAGAAGGGGCCCAAAAAAGCAATTGGCAAAATATAAAAGTTAAATGTGGGCCATAGTACATAGCTTTTTTCCCTGACTAGAAGAGAAATTGGAATGAGAACCGCTTTTGCTCATCTTTATTAAATATTTAATAAAATGACTGTTTTTTTATAAAGTTAGTGTCCATATACCAGAATGTTCCCTAGTAAATGAAGTGTGGTATGCTAACTATGTAGTGCAAGGCACACACATCCATCCCAGTATTTCAAGCAAACCTCTGTAGTTCAAATGTAACAAAACGTTTTTATTGGTACTGTTTTCTTTGCAAGCATTATTTTAATATGCACCCAGAATTTCCATTGGTGCAGAGCCAGAAAGGACTTTGCTACCTTAAACAAATGTTTGTATGGTTGGGAGCACAGCGGCATCTACAGGCCCTCCTGTCTTTTACAGCTACAAGTCAGTGCACAAATCCTTCACCCAACTTTGGCCACAACCTTTGTTGATCTCCTCCTTGGAGAGCACCTACAGATCAGGCTGCTGCCATTGCAATCATCTCCTTTTGCGCGATTGCAGTGCAGTTGTTTGGTTACAAGATGAGAAGGTTGCTCTTCACCTCTCACCTCAAATTCCCTAGCTACCTGCAGTAAAACACAAGGTATTTTTTCAGCGTGTGTCTTGCCAGTGTATGCATGGCGTGGATAAATCCGTATTGAAATGACAAGGCCTTCCAATAAAAGGGTGCAAGGGGGTGGTATCTTGGGGTACCTTGTATCTTTCATGGGCTACGTTATCCTTTAGAACCTCTTCAATAAATTGGTGTCGCTGACGGAGGAGGCCAGGAAAGCCTACCGAGACATGGTTGCTGCGATGGAGCAAGAACAGGAAGAGGCCTTGAAGAACATTAAGAAGGTACCCCACCATATGGGGCATTCTCGGAATCCTTCTGCAGCAAGCGCCATTTCATTCTGCAGTGTTATTTCAGAGCCCATTTCTGAAGTGAATGAGAAGGAGTATGGTAAGTTGCCTTTCCAGAATGATGCTTATATAATGGAATCTTCTCTGAGCATAAACTTGGATGGCTTTCCTCCTCTTTGCTTTAATCCTCATTATTTCATAACCATATCTTATGAAAGGAAGGGTTTAAGAAAAATAAACCCTCCTTGGTCAGACTGTGTACTGACCCTGGGGAAGATTTGTGATTTATTATGGTTTAGTTTTGGATTGAGGTAACTGACAAAGCGGTTTAAACATGGAGTCTTCTCTGGTGCGAGCAATTGGGTATGCCCCTGCATTCTTTGTGGCACACCCATTTGATGATTAGTCTACAGAGGTTTATTTTATGCAACAAAAGTGATTCTGTGGAGACAAGATTGTACCTTAAGCCAGGATGCTAGGCTGGGTCATGTCCCTGTTCAGTCCCCCCCCCCCCCCCGCAATCATAAATCTGCGTTCCCTGTAAATGCAAGCTTCTTGAAGGCTTCTCTTATTCCCTTATTCCAGGATGTTATTTTATTTTTTTACTACTTTTAAGGTTTTGGTTTTGATTTTGAAAATCACAGTACTGCAATCCATAAAACAATCCTCAGCTCAGTGGGAGAGTATGCTTTGTTTGCAGAAAGTTTTTGTCTCCTCTCCCTTATTTACTGATTTTATGCATTTATCTACCGCCCCTCTAACAATTAGTTTCCAGGTTGATCGGATTACTTATGTAGCTTAATAGGTCTTATACAAGGCTTAATGTATAAGAACATGTCTAAAAGCTTCACAGATAAAATTTTAAAATCCCATTTAAATGCACTGATAAAACAATTTCATCTGCAATAACAATAGAAACCAATGCATGGAACAGTATGATGGTTCAGCATATGATTAATTACCAGTAATTATAAGCCAGAGAAAGCCTGGGTGAGCAAGTACTCTTTTAGGAGGCGTTGAAACATCTCACATTTTCTGCCTCCTGAACTGCATGGGGAAGGTTTCCCAGAATGTGCCACCAAGAACACCCACCTCAGGGATGCTGCATGGCACCATTCATGGAACAATCAGCAAGGCCAGCTCTGAAGATCTCAAATGGCTGCTGGGTATATAAAGCGTGAATAACATGGGTGGGTGTTCCACTGCGGGCACCAGAGCAGTCCCACATTGCGGTATTTCTCTCATGAGGGCCACCACTGCATGGATTACTGTGGGGAAACTCTTACCTATCCAGGAAGAGGCATTGTTAGCACAGCAATCAAAGCTGAGGTCAGTGGCTTGGGAAATAAATGACTATAAACATAATGCAAAATTGAAGTTAAAAACAGGCTCCAAAACCAGGCATGGTTAAAATGGCTTGGGCTTCACTTACATAGTGTAGACATATTTTGAACTCTATTCAGCAATTATGTGGCTGCCATTAATTCTGTAACACAGTCGACTCCACCTGGGATATAATTAATTCAGTTGTTCTGAAGCACAGTTATATGCATGAAAATAATGCTTGAGAAAGTACTGAAATTTCATAGTTCCTTTTTGTGGAGGTGAGAGAGGGTCTGTGTGTGTGTGTGTGTGGACACTCGCACATGCCTAATAATCTTGTTAAAAGCAAAGTAATGCTGTGCCCCTCATTCTGTATGGCAACATTTCCCAAAACTTTTTGCTTTTTTCAGAAACAAATTGGAGGAGTATGGTGGAAACCTCAGATGGGTTGGAAACTTCTGAAAATGAAAGAGAGGCTTCGTCTAAGGTGGCTGATCCTGAAAAACCTGGGAACTGCAAGGCCGCTGCTACTAAGCAGTTATCTCTAGGTGGGATCGTCACGGTCACAGCGCAGGGAAAGGCACTTAGTGGCAAAGAGGAGGTGAAGCCAGATGATAATCTGGAATGGGCCTCACAACAGAGCACGGATACAGGATCATTGGATGGCAGTTGCAGGGATATTTTGAACTCCTCCATGACCAGTACAACCAGTACCCTTGTCCCAGGAATGCTTGAAGAAGAGGATGATGAGGAGGAGGAGGATGACGACGACTACACCCATGAACCTATCTCTGAAGAAGTTCAGCTCAACAGCCGAATTGAATCTTGGGTCTCTGAGACTCAACGGACTATGGAAACACTGCAGCTTGGAAAGAGCCTTAGTGGTGCAGAGGAGGAAAACATTGAACAAAGCGAGGATGAAGAACTAGAAAATCCTGAGCAAGTCGATTCAGTCATTGACAGTGAGGAATGGACCACGGATAAGCATGCAAGCCACACCCCACAGAAGCCCCCTGTCTGCAGTTCCGTGGATGCAAAGCGTACAGACTCAAATTATATACCATAAATTCAAGCACAAACTCAGGAAACTTTAATATTTTAAAACTAACTGTTGTAAGGATTGCAGCCATTGCTTTTTGTGCTTCATCTCAGCATTTTGCACTGTCTAACGTTTAATATGCATATTTAATTCACAACATAAATATTTTTTGTAGCAGTCTTTATTACTTTTTCCATTAAGAACTAGAGTGTCCGTGTGTGTGTGTGTGTGTGTGTGTGTAATAATTATTTATATATTTCGCAGAACAGACAATGTATGCTGAAACTGTCCATAGGCATCTTTTTGTAGAAGAAAACTATTTCAAATGACCATTTTTATGCAAAATTTATTCTCAACCTACAACTTTAAAATTCTTACACTTTTTAATGGCAATAGTGAGCTATATTTGCTCTGTCATTATCTTATCTTGAAAGTATTTGGCCTTAGTGTTCCAGAAATTGGGCCAGAAATAATCTTTTGGGGGACTTGAAAGATGTCTATAATGAGATGAGAATCCTTACAAAAGTGTTGGAAAGATTAACCAGTAATTTAAGTTTAATAGATCTTCTTACTGGTTTCTTAGGATACGTATTTCAAAAATGCAGTCTTGAAATGCTGGCTATAATCAGCCGAAATAATTTGACAAGGCACTTTGGAGAAGAGGAATCTCTTCCAGCTGACTACTTTAATACTGTCACTGTGCCTGCAGACTGCAGCAAGCAATCCATTAACAGCAACTTTTCCTTGTTTGATTTTCCTAACTTCACTGTTTTGACTGTTTCTTAGCTTTCACTTATCTCAGGAATACTACAATGAATTCGTAAATGCCATGTAAACACAAAAGCCCAAGTTAAAGAATCAGATACTGAACATTCAGCAGAAAGTTTTATGTGGACATAGGGCCTCAGTTTAGTTAGAAAGTTAGGGAAGTTGTATATTAGCATGTGATATTCAGATCACCTTTTAGTTTTTAGGCTGGAATCAGTCATAAAAGTTATGAGAATGTGAATTCATCTGTTTTGTATAGATTTGTCCCTTTGGGAGCAGATTTTCATGACTGTTAGATTAGAACTGACTGGGTAGGGGCCAATCTGTTGATTGAGTTGAAAATTCAGACTACTTTACTGTTAATATTAAAAGTGAAAGGCTTGCCTAACTTTTGCTTGAACTCTTGAGTTTTCCAACTTTGTCCATTGCAGAACATTACTAAGTATATCCAGCTAAGCTGCATTTTAAAAAAGAATGGTGAATGTAGAATAATTAACTGTCCATTGATATTGCAAAAAGACAGGCTTTATGGAAAACTTACTTTCCAGTGTTACAAAGTATTTTGCAGTTAGATTGTTCATTCATTATGGGACCAATAGCTTTAGCATCTTCTACACTAGCCTTTTTATATTGTACAGAAAAAAATATCTTGCTGTCTTAAGATCTAACATTGTCATCCAGTGCTAAGGAATGTAGCAGAAAAGGCCAGTTTGAGTATTTGTATAAATAGCTCCTTGGTATGTGTGACACAGAACATTCTAAGTAGAAAAAGTGTTGCGAGTTCCCATAGGGCCACTGGCCTCCTATCCTTTTGCGAGGCCCACAAGTTGGCATCTCTACCCTTCCCTTCCTTCCCCTCCTGCCATGTGCTAGTAACTCAAATGGCTTGTTCTTGATTAGGCACCCTTTGAAATGCAATTTTTTCATGAACCTAGTTTGCCCTTTGCCACTTTATGTGAAAGAAGGTAAGCACATCCATTTTTCTCAACTGTCCATGTTTAATTCAGTAAAGGCATTCTAATACTTCCCAGTTTGCAACCACTTGTGAACTTTCATGTCTAAAAATTTCAGCAGATCTCAGGGTAAATGGGTTATCGGTGAAGGAAGCCATCTTTGTGAAATGTCTCTTCTGATAAATGGCAGCTGAACACTAATTGGGAATAGAATGTCTGTCTGTATGCTTCTGAAGTATGTTAGATTATATTCCATAGGAGGTAGTTTTTTTTCTGATGCAGAGGGATAAAGTATATGTACATCTGTTGTTTTCTGTAATCAGCATCCATGATACGAACCATTTTGATCAGTTACCTTTCAAGGTCATGCTAGTTTGGGGTTCTTTAAGTAGCACAGTTTCTATACTGCTATAAACAGGCAGTTCTTACACTCCAAAAGGCTGTTTCTGTTACCATACAGACAGAAGTTTAAGACAAGTTCAGCAAATATTTGCTCTTTTTAAAAACCTGTTTAGTAGATGTTACTAGAGTTAATGGCAGAAAGGATGGGTGCAGGGGTGGGAGGAGTGTATAATGTTTAGAATTTTCTTAAGCTATTTGTTTGAGGTGACTATGTAGAAAGTATTTATAAGGATCTCCAGTAATTGTATTAAAAAAGCTTACCATGGAAGATGGAACACAAGGTGGGCTGATGCACTTAGGCCTTGAGCAGGCCGAAGAAGAGTGTGGGGTTTGTAGGTTGCTAATACAGTGCATTATTCTAAGTATGTGTTATGGTAACCAGTGAACCCTGTCGAATATATTCTTTGCCTCCTCCTCTTGTCCCTCCCTGACTTAAATTTTAAATAGCATGTACTTAAAGCTTGATCAGTGACTGATGCAGTGTTTGACCCACTGTTTTTAAGATGGAAGAAAACATGCCTTTGATTAATCACTTGTGAGTTTTAGAAACAACACTAGGAGATACCTTGGAAGGTTCTTTGGGTGGTGGATGTACACGGTGTAATTGTGTCCAGCTCATCAGCTGGAAGCTCTTCAACTTAAAAGCATGGAGGCAAAAGTTCTTGTTTGAAAAGCTGCTGTTTGCTGAAATTGTCATAGCGGAATTTTTTGTGTGAAGTTGTGCAGACTAATCAAGATATTCAGTCAATTTACCAGATTTTAATCATTAATTCAATATGAAGCCTTTGAAAAATAAGTATCAAAGCCATATGTGGATATTGTACAGCTTTATGCCCAGTCCTACAGAAACAGTGAGAAAATGTCTAATACAATCTTAAACAATTAACAGTAAAAAAAATTATCAACATGGCACAGCCCAATTGTGGTTAATGTATTTTAAAAACTATAATAAAGTAATGTCTGTTAATCTTTGGTATCTGTACACTTGTAACAGAATTTGGTTTAAAATAGAAAATCATTATGAAATTACTTCATGAAAAGGTTCTGTCTGTGTTCTTCTTTTATGAAGGATAATTCTGTCTACCCTACTTTTTGGAGTAATAACAGCTTTTTGCACTATGTAAATACTAGTGGGGGTTCTTCCATAATGAATAAAATGATTATAAATTAGTAGTGTGATACTACACCAGGCTGTTTGATTGTGTATTCATATTTTCAGAATGTCAAAGAAGCTCATTGAAGAGGTTTCCCTGACTAGTTATATTTTGTGTGGTGCTAAAACGGGTCACTGTATCCAGTTTTTTGTTTAAACTAAGTGTGACACAAATCTAAAGCACAAATGTCAAAGTATTAATGAGTACATCTTTGTATTGATTCTGTTTCCAGTGTTCACTACTCCTAGGGTCTAAACGCACTACAATTTCCCTACTTGTGTCACCTGTGCTGTAGATTAACCACACAGGACTTAGAGATACCCCTTCTCTCAGCCCCTGGAGTTTCTTCATTAGTTTTCAGCTACAACCTGATTTTTGGCTGTAGCATCAACCTTCAAAATTGAGCATGCATTTGTGCCTTTTTCAATGTACTGCATGTTCAGCCTTGTTGGAACAGCACTTAATGACCTGAAGAAAGTCAAGGGCCTGTAGCCAAGTTCTACTTCCAGTGAGGAAATTTGTAAGTCAGTCCAGTTTATATAAGTGAATAAACAAAATCAAGCCTGTGCTCAAGTTGCATGAATGCAAGAAGTATTCCACTTAAGGATGAGGAGGTGGAACAGCATAACCAACCTGTGCTTGTACCTCAGTGATTTAATTTGCCTGTGTATATGAGCCCCCTCCCTTCCCCCCCCCTGCTCTTGTTCATGCTGCGTTTCGTAAGTGGCAGCTGAATGTGGGCAGGCCATTGAAAAGCATGGCACTTGGGTGGCCATTTGACCACAGGGAAGTTCTATCTGTTGGTTCATTGGAGACCTTGCATGTGTGAATGAGCCCACAGGAGAAATGGACTTAAGCATTACAGACACCAGATGGGTGAATGCTCTCAAGTGTATCTCATGTGGTGATGTTAAACTACCACAGATACCCTTCAGATCCTATAAAGTTAATTAGAATGTGATGAAGATGGAACATTAACGACACTCTGCTCTGTAAACTCTTACAGACTGTAGCCATTTTAAATGGGTTTTCCACAGCATGTGTAAAATGAAGCAGCCACCCCTTACAGAGCCTGACACAAAAAATAGCTTTTTTTTTCAGGCTTAGCATGGGGTATAAGAAGCCACCTGACACAACGATCAGTGGCCCAACTGAAGTCTCACTTCCAGCTAGGCTCAACTCCCCAAGCTCCTAGAAGGATGTATTCTCCAACTTTCTTATCTGTGATACTGTACGTGCAAAGGCCTTTGCCTGAATCTGCAGTAGAGCCGTGCCATCACCTGAGGCTCTAGCGAGCTTTGCTTTCTAATGCATTCCTCTTTATCTGTGACACTACACTATTTAGGTTCATTAATTGAAGAAAAGTGGGGGCTTACAGCTGTTGTTTAAACAGGACCAATAAATCAGATTATCTTGGAAATACTGACAGGTGTGGTCAAGATACCCTACCCCAGCAAAAGGAGAAAACAGTGGGGAGAGGTCCTTTTCCCTCTGCAAATTCCCAAATCCGTGGGCTTTGCATGGCAGTGGGGTGGGGCACAAGGGGAAGAATTGTAGAGGCAGAGGAATGTGTAACAGGGAGGGCTAAGCATCTTTGCCACTTCCCTTCCACTTCCCTTTCCATCCAGCCTTCAATCTTGCGGCTTTATTTTTATTTTGATTCTGCCTTTCAGGCAAAAATAGCCACCTAGAGCACTATGCTGCAATTAAAGTGCGCTCCACACTGCAGCTGAGGGCTGCTGTACAGAAGTTAAAATAAGACACAAGTTGGCCCTTGGGCTTACAAAGTAAACAAGACATGAAGAGGGAAGGCAAGAGGAGACGGATCAGTTTGACAAGGTCAGGACGAAGTGGTGAGTTCTTTGGCATCCACGCTCGGTGGGAGATCAGACTGATCCTCTGTTGGTGGGAGGGAAGTGGTGTGACTGCTTGAGCCATCTTGGACTTCCGTCCAGAGGCAATACTGTTTTTTCAGTGTTCTCTTCCTTGCTGTGGCTCCTTGCCACATGTGGCCTTGCTGGGTTTTTAAAATAAGCCCCGGCCCTTTTAAATCTCTCACTCCGTGGCATATGTGTGTTTTCCTTTACAACCCTGCTTTTACCCAGAGCATAACAAGAGCCATGCAGAATCAGACTAATGGCTTGTCTAGTCCACTTTTCTGTGTTCATAGTGACCAACAAGAGACCTATGGCCTATGGGTAGCCTACCAGCACATCATTAATGCTAGAGAATGCCTCCCCCCCAACACACACTTCTGTTCCCTAGCAACAAGTATTGAGAGGCATATGCCTCTGTTACTAGAGGTAATGGAATAGCAATTGATAGTCCTTTGCTCTATTAATTGGTCTAATCCCCTTTTAAAGCCGCCTGACTTGGTGGCTATTGCTATATTTGGTGCCAGCAAGTCCCGCAGTTTAACTGTGCACTGTGTAGAGAAGTGCCTCCTTTTATCCTTCCTGAATCTTCCACCATTCAGCTATATGGGAGAATCCATTGGGAAAGAGGGAGAAGTGTGTTCCTTATCCATTTTGTCTGCCCCATACGTAATTTTATGCACCTTTATCCTGTTCCTAAGCTATTTTGGAGGCTAAGAATCTTCAAACCTTTCCTCATGGATGGGTTCTTGCAAGCCCTGGGTACTTTTTTGTTTTCCTGTTCTGAACCTTTCCAGATCTAAAATACCCTTTTGTGGGGGCAATGATCAGAATTGTGCCAATATCCCAAATGTGATCATGCTAGAGATGCATATAAGTGGATTTTTGATATCGGAAGTTGCTCTTTTCACAGTTGCTGCACACTGGGTCACCACTTTCCTCTGGCTGCCCTCCACAACTCCAAAAACTTTTTTCTAGTCAGACCTAATAGTTAGGATTTGATTGCGATTATCCACTTTGCCCAGTGTGCGTCACTGACTAGACATTTGATTTAACTGGAATGATGGTTAGACTTCCTTGAAGGATGGAAACCACTCAGGGAAGCAGCAAAGAAAAATAAACTTGTAGTAGCATTACTCGTGTGACTTAACATTAGGTTAGGTTGTTTTCTTGGCCTGTCAGCTAAATATCCATATTCCAGAGGAATGGCAAAAGAAGGAAATGGAAAGGTATGAGCTCAAAGCAGCGGGAAAATTACAAAGGGAGAAGCTTATGGATACAGAGCTGTGATGGTAAGGAGACAGCAGAACCAGACCAAAACATTTTGCTACCTGAGGCAGAAGAGCAGTATTATGTACCTTGACTCAGCCATATTCCTCTGGTATCAAAATTGTGGTCTAGTTATTTTTGCACCTAAGGGAGCAAAAAATCCCCTTGGAGCAAAAATTAAATAACTATTTGCTGACACACAAAATCAGTGCCTGGGGCCCTGAATAATTGTCTAATGGTAGGACCAGTCCTAGGAGATGATCAGGAGGAAAGGGGGCTCAGCATATTGCTCTGAAGCTGCCTGATATCATTGGCCCATCTAGCTCAATACTGACCACACAGACTGGCAGCAGCTCTCCCTGCAGAGGACAGGCATGGAAACTTGGCCCGTTTATTTAAAGTCTGTGCTCTGCCTCTGACCCAGGGCATCTTGCACATGAGCAGGGGAAGGCTTGAGATAATCTATAACCAGCTGTAGAGTGGGCAGCAAAAGTTACCACCAGCCTGGTTAGTAAAATGCTGCGCTCTAAGAGAAAGTATCGGTACTTGTGCCTGAAAAGCAGTCACGAGCGGCCTGTTTGCACCAGATTTCCCTCTCCCCCTCTCCCTGGCAGGGTGAGAGCACGTGTCCTCCTGTTCATGATTGCTTCCGTTTGAATTCTCTTATTTTTCTTTTTTCAAGCCTTCCACGAGCGATGCATGTTAGATGAGCGGGCTTCTAATGTGATTCCAGGCTTCTGCACTGAGCAAACCCAGCTCTGGCATGGGCACATGTCTCCCGGTTCCCTTTCCGCCCTCACTCACAAGGCAGCAAATGTGACTGCGGTCTGTCTCACCCACACACTGAGAGTTAACACGAGGAAGCGCACGTGACAGGAAGCCTCCGCTGCAGTTTAAAGCTCTCCCGAGGAAGAGGTTAATAAAGCCCTATTGTTGCTCGCTTCCCTGTCTGGTGCGAAGTTTTGCGTGAAAGTGTTTTTTAAAGGGCCTTTTGGAGAAAGGAGAGGATTGATTCCCTCGGTGTTTAAGCAAGCAAGTTGCAGTCTTGCGGTATTTGTTTGCAAGTGTCTGAAGGAGGGGGATTCACACACTGGCAAAGAGAGGCAGCCCATCTCAGCAAAACCTCCCTGCTGATGCTTCTTCCCCACTTTTCCTTCTCCAAAACACAGTCCACATTTCTCCCGGTTTGATTTTGGTTTTTGTTTCTCTTACTTGCAAGCATCCGTGGCCATAGCCACTAGTGTGGGGTGCTAATGGGGCTGGGAATTACACTGGTAATTGAACCATGTGAAACGCAGCCCAAGATACTGCATAGAACATTCAGATGGTGTTATACCATAGCATAGAAAAGAAATCCTACCTCAGACTTCCAAAATCTTGTGCAATAAAACTTGCTCATGACTGCAATGGAGAAACAGTTAAGGTAAAAGTGAACCGGTTTAAACCCTCTGTACCACTGTTTCAAGGCACAGGTGGGTCCTGTCTGCCTCACTTGGCATACCAAGAAAAAGACACGCAGCCCGTTCAAGGCAGTTTGTGTTGTATGCTGAAGATGCAGATAGAACAATCCTGCAGACAGAAGACCATGTGAAGGATCTAGGGATACATCCTTCTTCTCCATGCGATCTCAGTGTACAAAACCTTTATCTGGCCCCTCACATTATTTATGCAGAAAACAAAAGAAATAGGTCCCCCCACCCTTTGCAGAAATATCTGAATTGCTACTGCTGTAACCACACACACAATATATACACATTTGGCACGTTCAATGAATATATCATGCATTATATTTGATATTTTAATCAAATTGTATAGTCTGCAGACTACCCATATTATTCTTTGTATATTTTCACAAGATGGGGAAGGCCAAGTGCTGAAAAATCTCAGAACTGAGGAAAGTTTGAATGACTCTGGCTACGCCCATTTACAAATTCTGGTAACATTGGCCTTTGAGCATTTCCTTTGCATCTCTCCATAAATGAGTGTTGAATAGGGAATACCCCAAATTCAATTCAGAATGGTCCTTACAGTGCTAGCAGGGGGGTCGGCCCACATCATGGAGCAACTTCATCCTAACAGAACTCATGCAATACCGTTAGTAAGGAAATAAGAGAGCCAGTGTGGCGCAGTGGTGAAGAGCACGGGACTGAGACTCAGGCAATCTGGGTTCTTGTCCCCGCTCAGCCATGGAGCCAACTGGGTGGCTTTGGGCCAGTCACAGACTCTCAGCCCAGCCTACCTCACAGGGTTGTTGTTGTGGGGATAAGATGGAGGAGGAGAAGGATGTAAGCTGCCTTGAGCCCTTTGTAGGAAAAAGTCAGGATATAAATCGAAAAATAAAATAAAATAATAACTTGGTTAAATGTTAGTGCTACCTAGGGCAGGCACATTAAAATGTCTAGAACTTAAGTTAGTCATGACTGACAGGTAGCATTCATTTTGATGGGCATATTCTAATTAGGAGTCCTATGGTGACCATGGATTTATTTTATGTATCTATTGTATTTATATTTCACCCTTTTCCCTTCCAAGGAACTCAAGACAGCTTACATAATTCAACCCCTCTCAATCTTATCCTTACAACAACCCTGTGAGGGAGACTGGGCTGAGTCTGTGATTGGCCCAAAGTCACCCAGTGAGCTCCATGGCTGAGCAGGGACTAGAACCCAGAACTCCTGAATGCCAGTCCTGTGCTCTTAACCACTACATCACGCTGGCTCTCAAACACTGCCTTACAGTGAACCAGGCAGGCCATTGGTCCGTCACAGCCACAGTGACTGGCTGTGGCTTTTCAGGGTCTTGGGAAGGACTCTCTCTTACTAGGGGATGCTGGGGACTGAACCTGGGACCATCAGCATGGAAAGCAGCTGCTCCACCACTGAGCCATGGTCCCTCACTCTTTTATCGGTACCCCTTTTACAGAGAACAATCCTTTGCTTCAAGGACTTCTACAGACCCACCCTCTGCTGAAGTGTTATGCTGGGCCACCGTGCATTAAGGATAAAGAACACTTTGTACCTGGACAGCAAACTGAGCAGGTAGGCCTACAGGTCACCTGGTCATCACTTCCCACGCTATGGTGAGATGTACTGTATTTCTATTTCTATTATTATAATATTCCAAAGTTGTATGCCCATATTTCTTCTTCCTGGAGGAATGTTTCCTTTTCCTTGGTGGTGCCCAAGTGGCTAATGTAGGATTTAATCTGGGGAATGGAAAAACACATGATCCCACCCCCATATTTATGGTGATTACCTTCTTCACGTGGTCAAAGAACATTCTTCAGGCTGGAGAGACTGGCTGGATTCACACTTCATGGCAAACCACCCTGTGCAGCATGCAGATTCTTGCCCAAACTTAGCAGTCAGACAATCACACAGTTCCCACAGCAATGAGATCTCTGTGCTCTCTGCCCCACCCTCCTGGCAGCTCCCATGAGACCAAAAGCCCCTTCCTTACGCTATTGCTCCCTGTGGATGCCAGTGGCTTTTTCCCGATTGATCCACTGAGATTTTCCCCTCCAGAGTGTACCTGCATCTTTGCAATGCTTCCAAGTCACTGCAGCCTCCCCCATTTTGTTAAACTTTAAGAAACACTTTTGCCATGATTCCTCCCTTCTCCTTCTATGCATTTGCATTTCCCCCCTGTTTCTGAAAGTAAACAGGGAGGTGGGCACATCACTCCGACAACAGGAATAGAGCGGGCAATGACATGTTTCTAGGGAGCTCAGAGTAGTAGAGAGGAAATGACTGAGTTCTTTCCACAAGGGCTCTATGGTGTTTCCATACTATGAGGGTAAAATGGAAACCGTGGGCCCAGACAACTGGAGAAACCATGGCAACTTTAGACAGCCCCTTGATTCTCTCCAGTACTGAAGATGCCATGCAGAAATGTCATGACTGGGTCTGCACAACATGACAGACCAACAGGGGCAAGAAATCACCATGGCTTTGAGGACCTGTGAACCCCACCATTTTCTCTTTACCATGGCTGTGCAACAGGGTCAGCTATAGGAACCCAGATCATTCTGGAGCCTGGGAGATGCCAGAAGGCCTCATTACGCCTTGCTGTTCCACTCTCCAAAGGCCTCTAGCCGGAAAGTAAGTCCTGTGGCTGAGTAGGGGTTGGACTCAGTGGCCTGACTGGGCTCTTCCAGTTCTCCTCCTCTATAATTCTATGAGTCATCCCATAGAAAAATCTGTGGGTTCAGTCTGCCTGCCTCTCTTTCACCTTTTTGGGTTTCATCTTGCCCTCATAGTACGGTACTTCAGGAGGAAGAATGTCATAAAACTGCAGAGCTTGAGAGAAATCGTGGCCATAGGGGAAGTCACCTGATTCATACCACACTGTGTGGCTCGTCATGTGTAATTTGCCACACACAGAGCTGAGATGCCCCCCAGCACCACTTTGTAGAGCCAACCCCTGCTCAGTGGTTGTTATGCGAATCTGGTGAGCATGGGTGTTGTAAGGGTTATTCAATCATCTCATAACTTTAAAGGAGGCCATGGGTTGTCTGTGGGCTGTTTAATCCCTCATAATTCTCACTGGTTGGGTTCACATGCTAGGCACCAAGCCAGGGCTTGGTAATGCAAAGTAGGTCCTGCACTCATTCCATATGTACCACAGGTTCACTGTGGCTTAACTACAGTAGGTTGTCATGTTGTATGAACTGTGGGGTGGGGTGGGGTGGGACTCCCTCTCTCCCACACCTTCCTACAAAATCACTTCTGAACACAACTCTTCACTAGGCCAAGTAATGTATATGCCAGTACTCCAAATACAGAAACAAAGGACACGTTTGAGAGCTGGTACCTGTTGCAGCTTTAGTTGCAAGTACCAGGCAGTGGCACCCATTCAGAGAGAAGAGAAGGGCAATAAGAGTGCAGTTCAAAACGCCACAGATCCATCAGAGAATAAAAATTCGGTGGACAGTGGGTGAGGTTAAGGTTTCAAATCAGGGCCCTTTCCCCATTATTTTGATTTCTTTCAGATTCATGTCCCCTTCCTTTCTTTTGCCACTGCTTTTTCTCCTAGTTCTACTAAGGGTTGTGTGCATGTGTCACCTCCCTCCCTGTTTTGATACGGACAGCTTCTTTTTCTGAATTGTTTCTTTTTTTAAAGAGCTTTAAAAAACCTTGCTGTACATGTGCAGTATCCCGTGACTTCTAAAACAGTGTGTTATTATTATGCATCTCCTCCTACACCACAAACCCACTCACTGGTGCCTCTAGGTGGGTGAGTCTTCCTTTGATGCCTTTCATTCTCTTTCATGCCAGCATCATTGGAAAGATGAGAAAAGTATACTTCTTAGAAAATAATAATAATAAAAAGTCCTCAGATATGAAATTGCTGCCTAGGAGTTCATGCCTTGAAGGAAAAGCCATTTCTTTCTCTGGCCATCCCATTTCATGGGGCATTTAAGATCATAGGACTGGATTAGCCATCATGTTAACTGTTCAGTCTATAGCAAGGATAAACAAGCACTGCAACAGATTACTTATGATGGTCCTTTTGTCTGAGAAGCATTGGGTGTTGTCTGGTTTGATCCTGGTTAACCCAAGAGGAGCCATGCTGCATCACACCAAAGCCTATCTAAGCCAGTCTTCTGCTCTCAGATGGTTCACCAGATGCCTATGGGAATGCCTTAGAGCAGGGGTCTCAAACTCAACTTACCTGGGGGCCGCTGGAAGTAGAGTCTGGGTGAGGCTGGGCCGCATCAAGTATTCCACCACCGCGGCGGTGGTGGGCTGCTCATCCCACGGCGCTCCCGGCGGCCGGCCCGGGCGCCGCCACCGCTTTGAAGGCCGCAGGGCCCCTCCCCCATGCCCCACCCATCCCAGCAATTGGCCCGCGGGCCGCGCGTTTGAGACCCCTGCCTTAGAACAAGGTGCCGTGCAAAAATAGAGTAGCAGCTTAGGAAAGAGGCAGGCAATTTCCCATGGCTGTTTCTGAACGGATATCTGAAATCCAAAGGACATCCCTTCCCCTTCCCCTTCCCCTTCCCCTTCCCAGTGCTAATTTGCCACAATCCAGAGCTGACCGGTTTCCCTTTGCCATCACATCATAGTAGGCAAGCCAGTGATGGTCAAAGGTCTGTGTATGCATCAAGTCTGCATGGCTAGGCAGCTTCCCTGTGGCATTACAGTGAACAAGGTCATGATGGGTGTGCGTGTCTATGTGTCTGACAAATTTGCATGGCCGGATGGCTGTTCAGAGAAGCAATAAAGAGAGGCGGGAGGGTATCTGAGAATCATAGTATGGATTTGGAAGTGGCCAAGAAGGCCATCAGGTCCAACCTGCCACTTAGTGCAGGACTCACTTTAAAGTATCCGTAACAGGTAGTTGTCCAGCTACATCTTCAGGGCCCATGTGTGGGAGCTCTGGATTATGGGTTCCATTGTCATATTGCTGTAACAGTCAGGAACTTTTTCCTGATTGTGAGTCAGAATCTGGCTTCCTGTAGCGTGAATCCATTATTCCATGTCCTGCATTCTGTGATGACTGAGAAGAGATCCTGACTTCCTCTTTGTGGCAGCCTTTCAAGTACTAACATATCCCCCCTCAGTCTGCTCTTTTTGAGGTTATATGTGCCCAGTTCTTTCAATCTCTCCTCACATGGCTTTGTATCCAGTCTCCACATCATTGTTGTTGCCTTCCTCTGATCCCTTTCCAGCTTCTCTGCATCTTTCTTAAACTGTGGTGCCCAGAACTAGGCCCAGTACTCAAGATGGGGCCTAACCAGTGTTGAATAGAGAGAAACCAGTACTTCACATGATTTGGAAGTGATACAGTCCAAAATAACATTTGCCTTTTTTGTGAGCTTATCACATTGTTGACTCATATTCAGGTTGAAGTAATTCCAAGTTCCTTCTTGCTTATAGTATTGTTGAGCCAAGTATCTGCATCCTGTAACTATGCATTTGCTTTCTTTTTCTGCACTTGTTACCTCTTTCCAGTTTCATGATCAAGTGGGGACTTGAACCCAGATTTCTCAAATCTAAGTCCAACACTCCTAAACTCCATCAGTTGCCATGGTTTCTGCTGGGCCACAGAACCCAGCGGCATGTAAATGTTTTGAACAAACAAACAAACCCTCTGACAACCCCTTCCCAGACTCTGGGCCTGGAACCACAGTCAACTTTCCTGGGAGGTTCCACAGCCTCTAAATCAGCCAGGCATTTCTGAGGTAGGTGGCTTTTGAGGTCCTGAACCCACGGACTGTCTCCCCCTGTAGAGACCTGTGTGGACTGTTAAGGCACCTTTGCAAGTCCTACTTCTATGGATACCCCTGCCAGAGGAAGATAGGCACCCCACTGATGAAATGCCATGTCTCAACAGGGTCACATGGTTCATAAATTGTTCTCTTTGTGTAGCAAAGTGAAGAACTTTATTTTCACATAGGCATTTTAGAGACTTCTAGATTTGTGTGACTATTGTATTGACTCCTGTTGTATTGCATTGCAATTTATATTTGAAGTGCATTTTATATTGTTCATCACTGTTTCTGGCATCTAAGGAGTCTAAGGAGATGCTCCTATGGACTCTAGATAGCATCTGAGGGGCCACAGGATTTTTAGGATTCCGAGCTTTGAGGTTGGAGATGGTACTGTTCCAACCTCACAGCTGGAAATTGGAGCTCTGACACCTCACAGTGGGTCCAGAAAGAACTACACTGGTATTCTCTGAGCCTTGGAAGCAACCTCAGATAGGGGGAAAGGGGAAAATGAGGAGACTGGGGAGGCCAGGGTATAAGACATGCTGAAGACTCCAGCTTCCTTTTCTTCCCCTCCAAGACACTCCACCTACCTGGGCAAAGAAGCACATCTCACAAAGTGAGTGGGAGGATGAAGACCATGACAACCACTCCCTCCATTCTGTACTGGATGCCATAAACCTCCAAGTTAGGGAGCTTACGGACATCCCAAAAGGGCTGCACCCTGAGTCTTTTAACTGTTTGTAACCTACCCAGAGAACCTTGGCTATTGGGCAAATTAAAATTAATAAAATGTATATATTGGATGGATGGACCATTGCTTAGTGGTAGAGCTTGGCTAAATTCAGCTTTTTTGTGGCTTGCTTTTTGGGTCTTTCCCATAGCTTTTTTTGTAGCAATGGGGAAAGACCTTTGTGCCTGCAACTCTGGAGCAATGCTGCCAGTCAGAGTAAACAATATTGAACAAGATGCATAAATAGTCTGATCTGATAGTTTCTTTTCCCTCCCAATGATCCTCAGATGCAAAATAAGAAAATTCATTCATATGGGCATGATATTTGCAGGTCTCTGATCCTATCTCTTCTATCTCTTTTCTCTAGCACAGTATTAAAGTATTTCTAAGACACACAGGATTATTAGTAAGAAATAAAAAACACCACAAAACAGAACATGGGGCCAGTCCCCTGTGCAGCACATATTCTTCTCTTATGGCTGCAGCCGCCTGCGGTTTCAAGAGATGCATTGCCCGTTATTGTACTGCCTACTCAGATCCTTCCTTCCTGTGTGCTCTCTCTGTTGCAGTTTTTATCATGTCTTCTGAGTAAATTTGATAGGCACAGGAAGTGTCATTAGATATTGAACCAGGAGTCAATAAAAAGGAACTGTTTCTAAAAACACTACATCACCAGCATCCCCCAGGATTTTATACCATATGAACTAATGTCCATGGAAAGATGTTTCTTTCCCTCCTTCTAACCTTCTGCTGCATTGCAGAAATAACTGTACGCACACATATACACGTTTTTCCCAACAGGGGGAAAAAACATGAATAGAAATATTGGCACTGTAACGATTGATGTCTTCATGCATTCACTCCTATAGCTCACTAAGAACTGCCCCCATCACCAAAAGTCACATTTCGCATGGCTACTAGTTTAGTGTATTTATGGTGCATGAGTCATCAGGCTTTTTCCTGATTGGCTGAAAATTAAACACCCCTGGGACTGTCAGTCAGTTACAGCCATTCTCAGCTTCATTCACAGATTTATTTAGCTTGCATACAGTGAAATTCATTCAGAAAACTTCATTCATAAAAACTGCAACATTCTCTCTCTAATCTTTCATAGAAATAAGCTACCATGACCTGGCGACTGAGGAAAATGCACAGATGACTCAAAAGGCTGCCAAAGATGCTTCACTGTAAAGTTTCCATTGATTGATGGTGATGGTGAAGATTCTGAAGTCCAGTTGTACCGGATCATAAATCTACGTGGAGTATTTTTTGGATATTACTGTGCTTTCAAGGATTATCAAGGCGCTTATTGATAGAAACTGTGGTTCGTCTTCAGAATTATTTAGCATGGAATTTTCCCACCTGCATTTATGTGAATAACTAATTCTAAAAATTGCAGATAAGTGAATTTTTCCCCAGTAGAGCAATTCAGTATTAATATGCTAAGGTTGAGTCTAGTTTAAAAAACTCTTTTAATTATTGCTGATCAAAGAAGGGGACATTTTTTTTAGCTCTCTTGCATTGTTTGATATGAAGTAGTGTTTCTCCTTTGCAATTTTATTTTTCCTGCAGCCAAAGCTTTACTATTAATGAAACAGGGCTGTGGCAGTGAGTGTTCAGAGCTGAGGACAATTTTGAGGTTGTTTGCTTGCTTGTAAATGGAGAGAGATCTTTAGATTAAATAGCTGTAGCTTTCCTTGGTTTACCTGTGTGTGTTTCATTTAGATTTAATTTCAAATAGCCAGATGTCAAGACAGAACGAAGCTGGATTTATTAAGAGGAAGAAGCCGCTTGGGAACCTGTCAAGAACACCAACGACAAACAATTCTGCACTCTTCTTTTTCCTTTTCAAATTCATTCTGCTTTGCTTAATTCCATATTATTTTTTCTTACTTATAAGAAGGAAGCCAATTTAGATGTTGGTGGGGAAGAGGACCCAGTGACAGAACTCTGAAGGCTATGAGAGAACGCAGTCCACACAGCCTTGGTGGACACATACTGTATGTAGGACTATCGAGAGACCCAGGGATGCTTCACAGAGCTAAGTACAGTCGTTTTAGAAATGAGTCCCTCACTTCATTGGAGGAAGAGGTACAGAATGGCCCTGTGCATCTCAAAGGCTCTTTGTCTTCTCGTTCCTCAGCACCAAATATACCCATCGAAGATGTCACTGTTGGGACCCCGGACAGCTCCGTGGCTCTGTGCACCTTGATACCTCGCATGGGTAACATTAAGCTGGCCAACACGTCCACCTTACCAAGCTTAAAGAACTTCTGCCTACGGACTAAAGAGGTGCCAAGAATTAAACTCACAGAATGTGCCACTGTCCCCAGCAGTCCAACCTTGCCAGAGATCAACTTAACCAGCTGCCTGTCTGCTGCCTATTCCCGAGGGGACCCAGACAAGCCAGGAAAGACAAGCTCGGACTTCCAGAAGGACAATTTGTTGCTGGGCTCTGAAGAATCTGCCTTCATCTCTAAACAGGAGAAAGACACCAGGCAGAGGGGCGAATCCAGTTTGGAGACCGGCATATCATACACCATCCGAGTGAGTAGCTTTCCTTCTATGTATTGTTATGCTGTTTGCTTGATCCTTTTAAAGATATTATCAATAAGAACAGCAGCTAGAATTCATGCAGTGTGCTAGCAAAGCACTTTGCTGAATATTAGCTCAATGCTAGCAACTATTCCCCAAAACATACTGGTGGTTTTTACTACACTGCAAACATGGAGACTGAGGCAATGGGGGGGCTCAGATGAAACCCACGTAGTGAAATCGTGATATTGGAACAGGGGAATTCCTGGTTTGTATCTCAGCTTGTAAACTTTATACTACACTAGCTCTTCGCCCATCTGAGTTCAGATTACAACATAATAGTTGAGGTGGGGGGAACCCTGCAAATTCCAAGGCATATTTTCATACATACTAAAAGAGCCCTTGAACTCACTGCTTTCTGAATAGGCATGTGAAGATTCATCAGGCAGGAATCAACATGACATGGAATTATTTTAAATCCGATATAATGCAATATTTGAGTTACATGTGTGGGAAACGAGTCATGTGAAGAAACAGCCTTGGGAAAATAATGCTTAACTCTGAACCACTGTGTTGAGGTTGCCACTTTTAAAGATATATTGCAAAGTGTCCTGGTGCAGAGAAGAACAACTTTTGACCTTTTCCTAGTTTGTCCGCTGCACTAGAATCTAACTGCACCCTGTTGTCAGATTTCTTCACCTGTAGGGAGCATGTGACTCCCTTTTTACAGCAGAATCACTGTAACTTGGTCTGTTCCCAGGTGGAATAATCAATGCTGGTTATGACCTATACAGCCCTATGACTTGGGAACAGGTTACCTGAAATACTGGCTCCTCCCATACTTGAGACCTGCCTGTTCTCAAGATCCTGGGGAGAGACCCTTCTCTGGAGACCACTTCCAAGGCGTTCCGTGGCAACACAAAATATGGTCCCCTTGGTGGCCACTGCTAGGCTATGGAACTCCCTCCAAAGGAGGTGACGTTTGTTCCTTCTCTGTTGTCAAAATATGTGCTTAAATAAGGCAAGAAAAAGAGGGAGGGTGCGCCTCTATGCATCTTTTGACCCAAAACTATTTAAAAATCCTACAATTCCCAGCAGTCCCCACCCACCTGGCTGGAGCATGCTGGTTGCCATAGGGCCTTTCTCTGTCTAAACATGCACGGATCGCATCCCAAGTCTGCCTCTCAATGGAGCTGCTGGTGAAAGGAAAACTGAAATCAGGAGACGGAGAGCTCAGATTTTGTTCACGACTCTCCCTGCAAGACTGGGGGCCCCAGTTTGAGAAGTCCTGTTCTCATTTACCTCCTTAGCGTGTTTCAGCTGTTCTGCAGAACCAGGATAGGCAATATTTTCAAACTTTTCTACAAAGTCAAGAGCACAGTAAAAATTCCCTAGTATCCCTTCCTCTCCTAAAACAAATGAGAAGGGTGAACAAGTTTGGCTCCCTCTTCCCCGAGTCAGCTAGCACAGTTGTGAAGCATGTTTGGCCAACGCCAGCTAATCCAGATGGATCCAATGCAACAGAGTTCATTTGGGCCCTTGACCCTTTGTGTTAGCAAGTGCCCATGGACAGCGAGGTGGAGGGGGTAGAAGGCCAACCAGAGATGAAAGATTTGGGGCTCCAGCCTTTGTAGGCCTCCCCCAAATGCTCCTTCTGCCACTTAAACCTCTGCTTTTGCATTCCCAAGCAAAAAGCTCGATTAATCCAGTCCTTTGTCAGCCTCTGAATATGCCTGGCGGGCAACATTCGGTCTGGTGAGGCACAGAACAAGTGTTGGAGGAAGGATCCATGTGCCAGGAGACTTCCTCTGGACCAGCCTAGTTTGCTTGCTCTCTTCAAATGCAAGGGAGGATGCTGTCTCATCATAAATGTTGAAGAGAGATTCATCTCCCAGTCCGGTTGTTGTTCGTACATGGAGTGGGAGGGGTGCAAAACATCTTGGGCCTCCTATGCATGCTATGTCAGGCTCGTTATACACGTTGGAATCAAAGGTCATGAGTAATTTTAAGATCAAAATACGTTTTATCCAGAATAAACTACATAGGTTTATTAGAAATCAATTCTTGCAACATATATAAAGCCAGGCAATTTTGCATTACAAGAAAGACTGATGCTTTTCATGACAGCAAATACCGTTGGGAGTCTAGCAGAGTAACGCTGAGCTGTTTTTTCCAGCATTATTCCCATTTTTCATTTTAAACAATATTGTTGCAAAGATGCTGATTAATTCACCCCACTCACTAGCACCTCTGAATGCTGCTTGGGGTATCCTGCATTGGAACATGTTTTAAGTCTAATTATAAACTGTCCATTTTATTTTTATAACATGGCAAACATCATTTAAATCCAAACAGAAACATCTTGGATTTGGGCTTCAGAGCTCTGGCCCTGAATCCTTGTTAAGAATTCTTTTTGGCTAGCCCTGGGCCAAATAGTATCTCGGAGATTCAATTCCTTTGTCAATTTATACAGCAGATAAAGAGGAAGAGCTACTTCAAAAGAACTGTTCTGTGAAAGTGTTGTAATGCATTGTAGACTGCTAGGATTGTGTCTAGCCTAGGAATGCAAAATAGGTAAAGTGACAAGCTATATTACTGGGCCATTTTTTGCTGCCAGAGAACTGTGTAGGTATTCAGAGTTACACAAAGTTCTTAATCAGGGAGGGTGGAAATGAAAATCAACCACAGGTATATATACATAGGCCTGCAAAGAAACTCAGAAAAATGCTAAGTCTATAAAGCCACTCACTAACCAAATGCATGTTGTTAGTAATTAATGGCCCACCAGAAAAGGAAAGGCATTTCCCTGCCAGGAGCAATTCTGCCTTCCCGCAGGTGACTGGGCAAGTTGTTGTTAGAAGCCTAATATGCAGAGATGGTATGTACTTGTAGCACTGGAATAGTACTGAGTGCCCCGTAATCTAGTCCATTATCCTTTTGCTGTCTGTGATAAGCCCATGCATCACTGACAGACAATATTTTGAAGCTATCATGTGAATTTCATTTAGAATTCTGGAACTGCAAGAGGCCACATAGGCATCAAATACAATCCTTTGTTGCAAGCTGAGGATTCCTCGTACCGCCACCTCCCTGCATATTAACATTGCCATTCCATGCATCTTTACACAGAATAGGTCCCACAAGTTCCCATGAGTCCAGGGCCACTTACTCACTAGTATGTGGGCTTCAAAAGCATGTTGCCCTAAATATATACTGCAGAATGAGACCTATTTCTGACTGAGGTCCCCAATCTGGGTCTGGAGTGGAAGGTTCCTCTGAAAATCCTCTGTGCATAGAAAACAATCTGTGCTGGAACATTTGTCTCTAACATCCAAATTCTGTGTGAAGCCAGAATGTTTTGTATAGAAAAGTGTTCAGCCACAGAACGTCCACCTGAAATGTTGGTCTGGTATAGTGCAGAAGCCGATTTATCACTTCAGTGGAAGCGAAATCCGAGGCCTACATCACGTTTCATGGTGTTTGGTTGTTATGTTCCATGGAGCAATTGCTTGAGAGTCAGAATCATGCAAAGAAGACGCCAGGGACCTGTGGAGAGAGGGTGGATGTATCCTGGGAAACTCTGATTAGTCCTGACTTGTGTGCACAGGGCATGTGATGATATACATCTATATGGATCACATTCCATGTATTCCAAGGCTGGTGTGAATGCATGAGAATTTCCAAACAAACCTGTGCACCGGAGCGAACTGAACCCATTTCAGCAAAGTACTGCAGAAGCAGCCCAGGTAGGAGCTCAGAGGGACTTTAAAAAAAATGGAAACACAAAATCTAGAAAACTAGGGATAACTAGACCTTTTGACTTAGCAGAAAACTCTTTCTAATCTAGCTAGATATTGAACCAATCCTTTCCATCTGTCTTTCTAAGCAGTGAGAGGCAACTTGTTTTCCATACAACTCCCCACATCAGAGCCAACATCTGGAGGGCCACCAATAGCCCAACTCTTGTGTATGAGAACACATCCTGTTGGGCAATCCACACACATCTTGTGTCTGAACACAGATTTGCATCTGGGGTTTGCCCTGTCTTGCTCAGGGTGCCCAAAGCTATGTATGAGAGATTCTGTGCCTCCCAGCAGCCGAAGTTCAAAGGGCAACTCACAAAAAAATAAAAAATAGAAATAAAAAATTAAAATTAAAGCCCTCACATGCAACATGAAAAAGTATGATAGTAAACCTTTGAGGTTTTAAACAGAAAAAAATGCAACTTTTTAAAAGTTGTGATTTCAGAAGTACATGGGAAGTGGATACTCAGATGAAGGGAAAGACTCTTTTTGTAGCCCCGAGTGGGCTGCAATTTTAAAGGCGCCGAAGCAACCCACAATAGAGTCCTTTTATGTTTGGTCTTCTTTGCTCTGGGAGCAGAGCGTCTGCATTTCTGCTTTGCTACAAAATGTGTTTGTCTGTGATGGGGGAGGAGAGAAGTGATACGTATAATACAAGATTAAATGGGTTTCCTACAAACTGAGCAAATACTCGCCAGATGGGAAAGCACACATACTCTCTACTTGTGTTCTTTCCACATGGATGAGGCAAAAGCAAGCATGGCTGAGCAGGGGAACTTTCTCTAAACCGTGGGGTGGTTTTGATGCCAGCTTCAGTGTTGGGAGCGTTGCAGTGATGGCTGGGACTTGATAGGGCCTTTTGAAGAGACTCACGCGCTTTGTGTAGGTTCATGGCAGCAAAATAAATAAAATGCTTTCTTTTTGTTTGTTTAAAAACTCTTTTAGGTATGGATGTCTATATGGCTTTTATAATGTATTTTAAATATTTATTTATTTATTAAAACGTAGTATTTTATTTATTTATTTATTAAAATATTTTTATGCCGCCCCATTCGCTGAAGCCTCGGGGCGGCTTACAACAAATTAGTTAAATAATTATAATTAAAAATATAAACATTAAAATAAAATACATACAGTATAAAATAAGCCGCCCTGGCCAGATAAAATTCAATAATATTAACATTTGAAATGCTGCTTAAATAAAAAGGT